TCTGCTAAAATAAGAGTAAGTATGTATACAAAAAACTCATTTTTGTGTGCGTCTACATGTAGGGAATGTGAAACTGAATGTCACTTTGGTGGGTGTGGCTGTCTCTTCCAGGAATAAGACGAATTGGCCAAATTTAGTCACATTATGTCTTATTCTGCTAAAATAAGAGTAAGTATGTATACAAGAAACTCATTTTTGTATGCATCTACATGTAGGGAATGTAAAACCGAATGTCACTTTGGTGGATGTAGCTGTCCCTCCCAGGAATAAGACGAAATGGCCAAATTTAGTCACATTTTGTTTTATTCTGCTGAAATAAGAGTGTGTATACAAGAAACTCATTTTTGTATGCGTCTACATGTAGGGAATGTGAAACCGAATGTCACTTTGGTGGGTGTGGCTGTCCCTCCCAGGAATAAGACGAAATGGCCAAATTTAGTCACATTTTGTCTTATTCTGCGGAAATAAGAGTAAGTATGTATACAAGAAAATCATTTTTGTATGCGTCTACATGTAGGGAATGTGAAATCGAATGTCACTTTGGTGGGTGTGGCTGTCCCTCCCAGGAATAAGACAAAAAGACCAATTTTAGTCACATTTTGTCTTATTCAGCTAAAATAAGAGTAAGTATGTGTACATGAGACTCATTTCAAATTGATTTTATTTTTAAATTTCTAAAAGAATCTCACGCACTATAGTGCATGCATGAAGTGTACTGTTTAAGGTGTAGCATGCTTTATCTTTATGACGACATTGTTTGACAACATTGTTGCTTTAAAAAAGAATTCTTAAATTAAGTAAACATAGCATAATGGTAATTGTACAAAAGGAGTGCGTAGTTGTCTAGTTTTTGTTTTTATTTTGGTAGTTGTTATTAATTAATTAATTTATTTATTTATTATTATTTAGAATGCAAAAAATTGTACTATTTTTATTTATTTTAATTACATAATTTTCTATTTATTCTTCAGTTTATTTATTTAAGATTTTCCTTAGTTTATATTTTAACAGAAGAAAAAAGAAGAAATTAATAATAAAATTTTTAAAAAATAAAATAAAAATATAGTTCCAGTTAATTATTATTAAAGGGAAGAAAGGGAGAGCCCTACAAAAAATAAAAAGAAACAAAATATTTATATTATTATTATGTTGTTATTATTATTATTATTATTATTAGAGTAGGAGAAAAAGAATAAATTTTATTATTACTATTATTATTATTTTAT